CGTTTGGCCACTCTTGAAACTTCCCACTGCCAGCTTTTTCCTCCTCTAACCCGCCCCTCTATTCACCGCTCTTTCACCCACATTCAGGCCATCCATTTTAATTCTTGGGAAGCTGCCTAAATTTCATAGCATATCACATCACGTACTTGTTAAACTGACTCATCCACAAAGTTTCAAACATGTGGGCATTTAATTAAAGCTTTTGACTGATGATTTCAACAGATAAAAATGGGGAAGATTCAGTGCCATATAAACTCTGTAAGAGCATCATCATCCGGTTAGCAGAGGTTACAGACTAGACCAGTTCAAGCCGGCCCACATAGGAGGCGGTCAAAAACCAAAGACTCTCCAAATGTTTAGCAGAATTTATCCAAGCGGCTGGTATTTCAGAAACTTCAAGGAGCTCAAGAAATGACCTAATTATGTCTTCAATATTTAAATCATTCCTTACCCCCAAATAATTTTTAGGTCAAAAACATTGCTTTTCAAAAAGAACTTTTATGCTAAAAATGTCATTTAAGACACCATGAACATGAAGTAAACACTTCCCCTTATTTACAGATTAATAAGCGCATCTAGCTGGGCATGGCAGCATGCGCCTGTAATCCCAGCACTTTGGGAGGCTGAGGCGGGTAGACCATGAGGTCAGGAGTTTGAGACCAGCCTGACCAACATGGTGAAACCCAGTCTCTACTAAAAATACAAAAATTAGCCGGGCGTGGTGGCGTGCACCTGTAATCCCAGCTACTCAGGAGGCTGAGGCAGGAGAATTGCTTGAACGCGGGAGGCGGAGGTTGCAGTGAGCTGAGATCACACCACTGCACTATAGCCTGGGTGACAGAGCAAGACTCTGTCTCAAAAAAAAAATAAAGAAGCAAAAAGGACATCTAGGCTGGGCACAGTGGCTCATGCCTATAATCTCAGCATTTTGGGAGGCCGAGGCAGGAGGATCACTTCAGGCCAGGAGTTCAAGACCAGCCTGGGCAACACAGCAAGAACCCATCTCTACCAAAACTAAAAAATAAAAAATAGCTGTGTGTGGTGGCGCATGCCTGCAGTCCCAGCTACTTCGGAGGCTGAGGTGGGAGAATCACTTGGGCCCAGGAGTTCAAGGTTACCGTGAACAATGATTTCACTCTAGCTTGAGCAACAGGGCAGGACCCTGTCCCTAAAATAATAATAATAATAAATATAAATTAAAAAGCTGGTTAAACACAATCAAGATTAAATTTATAAAAGGAAAACCTCCTTTTGTCCATGTTGCCACTCCCTTCTGAGTGTTCTTCAGAAGCTTAGGAAGCAAGTGCTGAAAGCAAACTTCTCTTCTGTTCCAGGGAAGAGGGGAACGTGGGGCCTCTTGACCTACAAAACTCAGTATGTTGGAACATCCGTAATTCCACCAAGTCTGCGCCAGTCAAACAGACTCCTTTTAGCAAACCAGCCAGCCAGGGCTGGAGAGCAAGGCTTTCATCCCTAGGAGTTGACAAGGACAGAACCCAAGAGCTCCTTGGAAAAAAAAAAAAAAGCTTCTACTTCAGTATGCATTACAAACTGCTGGAAAAGACAGATGGGGGCATGACAGGAAAAGCAATTATTTCTTCTGGGCTTCCTTTCTGTCTGGATTCTAAGGAGACGAATACAAAATTCCATCACAGATTGAAATGCTATCTAAACATTCTTGGAAATGTGGTCCTGCTCTCTGAAATACGACCTGCTCTGCCGCGGCAGTCTGCAACCCATCAACACGGGACGGGGGAGAACGCGACATTCCGCCGACTGTCTAATTCGGGTCTGACTCTGCAATACTGCTAGCCTGCAAGAGTCCAGAACCACAGGATGAAACGTAAATAACTAAAAGATATACATCTATTATACACAGCATGACCCAACAAAAAATGCTGATGAATCACTCGCTATTTTCACATTCTTGAAATTTTAAACATCTATGACTTCTGTATTTTAAGACTTCTAGTGAGCCATTCTAAATGTAAGCTGAACCACGCTGAACAAGTAGTGTGGACTATTCCCAACAGTAGCAAGTGGGGACTCTTCACGCACAAAGCCAGTTTTAAATCACTTTTAAGGAACACCCACTTGCTCATCAAAATGATGTTTTTATGATAAAACATTTTTGTTTATTTATAATTAATAAACAATCTTAGACAAAATATTCAATACACTTGCATAAAATGTTGGGGGGGGGTTGCTGTTGTTTTTGGAGATGGGGTCTCACTCTGCCACCCGGGCTGGAGTGCAGTGGCACCATTACAGCTCACTGAAGCTTGTACCACCATATCCGGCTAATTCTTTTACCTTTCTGTGGAGACGAGTTGCTATGTTGCCCAGGCTGGCCTCAAACTCCTGGCCTCAAGTCATCCTCCTGCCTCGGCCTCCCGAAGTGCTGGGATTACAAGCAAGAGCCGTTGTGCCCAGCTCAGCTGAATAAAACGTTATTGCACGTGGCCTATGTGTAGTGAAATACAAAGATGACAAAGACACAGTTCTTACCTTCCAGGAGCTTATAAACATCAAAGGGATGAGACTTGTTCTCTAGTAAGTCAAGGGAGACCCCAAAAGCCAAATGAAAAGTACAAGAATAGGGCTGTGGGATTTATGGAGAAAGGATATCAAGTGACACTAGAATCCATTTTCTCCTCTGTAAAATGAGGGGAGCGGCCCAGATGAGTTGTAAATCCTTTCTAATTCAAAATTCTGATTCCTTAATGTATTCAGATGAAGTCGACAGAAAACACTGTCAAGAAACTAATATCCGAGCTGGCCCTTGGATGGGTAAGACTGGGAAATGCAGCTGCTGAAAGAGATAGGAGGAAAAGCATTTCAAGCACAAAAGAGTCTATAAGCACAGGCCCAGAAAGCACAGGCATGCTCGTGGAGCACAAAGTCTTCGGTGCAGACAGAATACAACAGGAGGCAAAACTGGAAATGGAGACCAGAATTTTGAAAGCCAAGCAAAGGAATTTGAATTTTTTTCTTTCTTTCTTTTATTATTATTATTATTTTTTTAAACAGGGTCTCACTCTGTTTCCCAGGCCGGAGTGAGGTGGTGTGATCATGGCTCATTGCAGCCTTGAACTCCCTGGCTCAGCTGATCTTCCTGTCTCAGCCTCCTCAGTAGCTGGCTACAGGCACAGGCCACCACCATGTCCAGCTAATTTTGTACTTTTTGTAGAGACGGGATTTTGTCATGTTGCCCAGGATGGCATTGAACTCCTAAGCTCAAGTGATCTCCCCGCCTCTGCCTCCCAAAGTGTGGGGACTGCAAGTGTGGGCCACCATGCCTGGCCTTGGATTTCATTTGCTGGCCAGAGCCAACGCAGTGTCTGAAGAGGCAGACACTACGACCAAACACAGACTAGGACAGCTAAGCAGCAGAGTGCAGCTGGAGGGCTTGAGGCCACCCGGTCCCTCTGCAGGACCCCTCTGCAGGTCCCATTTACACAGGCCTCATCTGCCGAAGAAACCATGCTTCATGAAATACAGAAAAGACGAGGGAACAAGACCTCGACAGACAAGACGAGGGAACGAGACCTCGACAGACAAGACGAGGGAATGAGGACTGAAAGCCACGCAAGAGTCCAGAAAACAGGAACACTTCTAGGAGCCTAATGTGTCTACACACAAATTCTGAAGATGACAAGAAGGCCAACTACTCACAAACAGGCCAAAGGAAACTGGCTATCACATGGAAAGTGACTAAGAAGTGGAAAAAAAAGTGATATAATGTAGCAAAAACAGACAGATGGGAAAACTACAGATGTAAAAGAAAGAGACTCCTAACATCTGTAAACGGACTAGCAGAGGAAACAGAATTATCGGAGATCTGGAAATCTCAGCACAGGATTATCCTCCTCCCACTCCAAATCTGGGCAGCAGGATGAACATTTGTAGAAATTAGCTGTCCTAAAAAATGTCCAAGAGGAGAAACCACAGCACTGAAGCGACTGCAAAGGTTGCTTCACTGACCTGAGTTAGTGCTGAGAAGGGAGGACAGGACGTCCTCCCTTAGGCGAGAAAGGACAGCTAGAAAGGCACGCTCAGCACTTCCATTCAGACAACCGTTCTGAAATACAGCGCCTGAACAGAAGAACAGAATCGAATGAAAAGGGAAATGGTTCACAGGTAGCATCTGGCCCCTCAAGTATCAAAGAGTATGTCCCCCCACACACTTTTCCCTTTTCCCTCCAACAGCCTCCTTAACCAGATCCAATAGACTTCCAAAACTTTTTTTTTTTTTGAGACAGTCTCACCCCTGTCGTCCAGGCTGGAGTGCAGTGGTGCGATCTCGGCTCACGATCGGCTCACTGCAACCTCTGGCTCCCGGGTTCAAGTGACTCATGCCCCAGCCTCCTGAGTAGCCCGAATTAAAGGGGCGCACCACCATACCCAGCTAATTTTTGTATTTTTAGTAGAGACAGGGTTTCGCCATGTTGGCCAGGCTGATCTCAAACTCCTGGCCTCAAGTGATCCACCCGCCTCAGCCTCCCAAGGTGCTGGGATTACAGGAGTGAGCCACTGTGCCCAGCCAACTTGTAAAATTTTTAAATGAATCTTGAGTTACCTGCCTGCTGGCAAAGTGAGGTGCGAGGAAATCATAACTATGTCAGGTTGCTATCTTTTGCAGCCACAAAAGTAGTATCAAAACCCCAACAACTTAGCTGACCAATGCAGCAACCTCCTTTAGCCACAGCCCACAAAATAAAAGAGGGCACAAGAGATACCCAACACTAAGGAGAAAGACCAGGAAGCTCCCGTGTTCTCGTCTGGCCTCAAGTGAGCGGTGCCACAGTACACAGGCCTGGTCCAAGGGACACTGAGTGACAGCACGTGGCTGCTCTGGACGCTTGCCCTGCCCTGTCCTGCCATGTATGAAACGGATCAATCGGAAAGTGCTCTGCGAGAAGGCACGTTGATGTTTTGGTCATCTGGTTGTCAGGAGAAACTAGCACAGCATAGGTAATATGAAGGAATAAGTTACTTACTTGCCGTCCATCCTGCCCCACGTTCGTCTGGCCTCTTACAACAGTTCGAATATTGTCATCCAGTCTCCTAGCAAAACAGTTCAAGGATACAGTCATTCAAATACTCTTTATTCTAGGCTGACCAAAAGAAAAAAATAAAAGAGTAATGTATCCATCAACTTCTGCAGACTGCACCTAAACGTCCCGAAAACCAAACATGTGTGAGTGACATCAGGAAGGAGGGCAGCCACAGCCGTGTGGGAGGCCAAGCCCAGCGCAGACTGACGCATTGCCTTGTTGTTAAAAATGGCTATTTTCACTTCATAGTCAGAGCTGTCTGAAAAGACTAATAAAACTTGCAGGATTTTTCATGGTGTAAATCAGGAATGACAAAGTTCCTAAACCTTTATGTGAACACGCCAGAGAACTCAAATTACCTCACACACAATCCCTTTCTCAGTCCTCTTATGAGGCAGAAAGAGCCAGGGTGATAGACATAATCAGTGCTTCCCACTCCAGGCCCTGATCATGCAATCTACGTCTGAGGCAGATCAACGGCTTCCAGCTCCTCTGCCCCCACAGTTCACAATGTTTAATCATGGGTCACCACCGAGCCCACCAGCAGATCTGTTAGCTGTTATGTGACCAAGGGATACACATGTAAGCCCATCTTCATGTCTAAGCCTTAGGAATACAAAAACAGGCAAATCCATAAAAACAGGGAAATAAAGCCATTAAAAAGCCAGTAGAAGGACAGTATGGCTTACACCTGTAATCCCAGCACTTCGGAAGGTGGAGGCGGATGGATCACTTGAGGCCAGGTGTTCAAGACCAGCCTGGCCAACACAGTGAAACACTGTCTCTACTACAAATACAAAAACTAGCTGGGCATAGTGGTGCATGCCTGTAATTCCAGCTGCTTTGGGGTGGCTGAAGCTTACGAATTGCTTGAACCTGGGAGGCAGAGATTACAGTGAGCCGAAATCACACCACTGCACTCTAGCCTGGGTGACAGAGCCAGAGTCCATCTCAGAAAAAAATAAAAATAAAAATAAATCTAGTAGATGTGGGAGACCGAGGCAGGCAGATCGCTTGAGCTCAGGAGTTCAAGAACAGCCTAGCCAACAAGGCAAAACCCCATCTCTACAAAAAATACAAAAATTAGTGAGGTGTGGTGGTGTGCACCTGTAGTCCCAGCTACTTGGGAGGCTGAGGTGGGAGGATCGCTTGAGCCCAGGAGTTCGAGGCTGCAGTTAGCTGTAACTGCACCACTGCACTCCAGCCTGGGGCACAGAACCTTGTTTCAAAAAAAAAACTGAAAAAAAGAAAAAAAAATCTATCAGAAAAGCTTTTGCCTCCTTCTATAATTACAAAAGCTGTTTTGAATAGACTCTGTCACAGTTTCCTTCCTTTTGTATGAATAATTGAAGACTGGCGAAAAATTGAGTTCCTTGCCACAAAGTTCATACGTATAAAAGAATTATATGACCAGGTGTGGTGGCTCCAGCCTGTAATCCCAGCACTTTGGGAGGCCAAGGCCGGTGAATCACTTGAGGTCAGGAGTTTGAGACCAGCCTGACCAACATGGTTAAACCCCATCTCTACTAAAAATACAAAATTTGCCAGGCCGTGGTGGCTCACGCTTGTAATCCCAGCTACTTGGGAGGCTGAGGCAGGACAATGACTTGAACCCGGGAGGTGGAAGTTGCAGTGAGCCAAGATCGCACCACGGCACTCCAGCCTGGGCAATGAGCGAAAATCCGTCTCAAATATAAATAAATAAATGAAAATTAAAAAAGGAACTATATTACCATCTATGGCAAACTTGAGATTCCAGTGCTCTCACAGAAAAATGTGATCCAGAATGTGATTAACTAAATTAACAACATACTTTTCATTAATGATGAACAATCACACAATGTTACTTACCTTATTTTCAGCCTAATTTTGTTCACGACTTCGTCAATGTTCGCCAGAGACTACAATAAAGAAGAAAGAGTGCCCAACTGTTAGTCCACTTCCTGGAATTCCTCTTTCCCAGGGAAATGATGTGCTCTAACAGCTACTTATGAAAGCTCAAAAACTTTAATCACATGGTATGAGCTTTGCTTTAAAAAAGTAAAGCAGTAGTTGGAAGGTACTGGCAAATCTAGCCCAGCCCCTGTTTTTTCTCAATAAAGTTTTACTGGAACACAGCCGCGCCCATTCACTTGCGTCCTGCCTCCGGCTGCTCTTGAGCGACAGAGGCGTTAGGCAGTTGTGAAAGACACTGTAGAGCCACAAAGCCTAGAATATTTACTACCTGGACCTTTGTAGAAAAGTTTGCTGACCCGTGGTATATGTGATTGTGACAAATTCATGTAACAAAATACAGCAACGAAAATGAATGAACACACACCACCATGGATAAACATTACTAATGGAACGGGGCACAAAAGAAGCCGGACACAAGAGGACATAGGATATGATTTCACTAACACAATTCTCCTGTGTTAGAAGTGAAGACTATGGTTATCTCTGGGGGAAGGTACTGACAGTGAAGAGGCAAGGAAAGGCCTTCTGAAGTTTTTTTAAATGGTTTATTTCTTGATCTGGGTGGCGGTAACATGGCTGTTTATTTTGTGAAAATTCATCAAGTTGTACCCTTAAGATTTGTGTACTCCTCTGTATTATGTTATACTTCAATAAATACACAAATTTATTTTTTAGTATATAGATTCATTAGAAAAAAGTCTGGAAGGATAAATAGGAGTAGTTGTATCTTTTAGTAGTTGCAGCATTAGTAGCTACAATCTATCAACTATGTATTACAATACGAAAAGAAGGGATTTCAAATTTTGCTTCTTGGGCCGGGTGCAGTGGCTCATGCCTGTAATCCCAGCACTTTGGGAGGCCCAGGTGGGCGGATCACCTGAGGTCAGGAGTTTGAGACCAGCCTGACCGTCATGGCGAAACCCCATCTCTACTGAAAATACACACACAAAAAAATACAAAATACAAAAAAAAAAAAAAAAAAAATTAGCCAGGCATGGTGGAGGGCGCCTGTTATCCCAACTACTCAAGAGGCTGAAGCAGGAGAATCGCTTGAACCCAGGAGGCGGAGGCTGCAATGAGCTGAGATCAGGCTGTTGCACTCCCGCCTGGGCAACAAGAGCAAAACTCCTTCTCAAAAAAAAAAAAAAAAAAAAAAAGGCCTTCTTTTTGTCTGTATTTTATAATTATTGACTATGCACTAGTACTGTGACTATAATACTGTGACTGTAATAAAGCTTATTATAATGACAAAACAAAGGGATCACTTCTGACCCTAGAGATGAGAAAATGTGAGGAAATGGTGCCCCCTAATGGACAAGATGAGGTACAATTTTACAGTACTATTTTAATTCCAGTTTTCAAAATACAATTTAACAAATCCTCTTTCTCTCTCCCTTAACAAATATTTTATCTCAGAAGGAATTAGGGATATTGCAGGAAATACGCTTATAAATTGCTTCTGGCTACCTCTGAGGGGAGGAGGAGGCTAGGTGCCTTCCAGGAGCAGGTCTGGTAAGAGAAACGGGCCCTGAGTGTTTGAGATGTCAGACTGGGTTGTCACAGCTCATCTTACGGTGCTGACTAAGCCAACAGTTACTCAGAATTTTCAGAAATCCAAGACCAGCTTGAGGTAAAAATGAATCTCAGGCTGGGCGTGATGGCTCATGCCTGTAATCCCACACTTTGGGAGGCTAAGGTGGGAGGATCACTTAAACCCAGGAATTCAAGACCAGCCCAGACAGACCCCATCTCTCCAAAAAATAAAAAAGTTAGCCAGGCGTGGTGGCGGGTGCCTGTAGTCCCAGGTACTCAGGAGGCTGAGGTGGGAGGATCACTTGAGCCCAGAAGGTCGAGGCTGCAGTGAGCCATGTTTGCACCACTGTACTCCAGCCTGGGTTAAACAGCCCTGTCTCAAAAAAAAAAAAAAAAAAGAATCTTAAACAAGAGAAATTAATTTATATATAATTAACATATACCTATATTTTTGTGTGTGATGGAGACTAGCTCTGTCACAAGGCTGGAGTGCAACGGCACGATCTTAGCTCACTGCCAGACTCCCTGGTTCAAGTGATTCTCCTGCCTCAGCCTCCCGAGTAGCTGGGATTACAGGCACATCCCACCAGGCCCAGTTAATTTTTGTATTTTTAGTAGAGATGGGGTTTCACCATGTTGGCCAGGATGGTCTCGATCTCCTGACCTTGTGATCTGCCCGCCTTGGCCTCCCAAAGTGCTGGGATTACAGGCGTGAGTCACTGTGCCTGGCCAACAGGAAAATATTTCTAATATCATTTTATGATAGCAAGTATTTTTATAATATCAAATAGCCTACCTTTAAGATGGCAGCTCCCTCTGTCACCTAGGCTGGAGTGTAGTGGTGCTTACTGTAACCTCAAACTCCTGGGCTCAAGCAATCCTCCCACCCCAGCCTCCTGAGTGGCTGAGAACACAGGTATGTGCACTAAGCCTCGCTAATTTTCCTATTTTGTTATAGACACAGGGTCTTGCTATGTTGCCCAAGCTGACCTTGAATTCCTGGCTTCAAGCAACGCTCCCGCTTTGGCCTCCCAAAGCACTGGGATTACAGGCATGAGGCAGCACACCTGGCCCTATAATATCGTTTTTATAACATAATGAATGTAGCTATTAAAAAGAATAGAGGCCGGGTGTGGAGGCTTATGTCTGTCCTTTGGGAGGCTGAGGTGGCTGGACTGCTTGAGCCCAAGAGTTAGAGACCAAACTGGACAACATGGTGAAACTCCGTCTCCACAAAAAATAGAAAACTTAGCCAGTGTGGTGGCACACGCCTGTAGTACAAGCTACTTATGAGGCTGAGGAGAGAAGACTGATTGAGCCTGGGAGTTGCAGGGCACAGTGAGCTGTGATGGAGCCACTGCACTGTAGCCTGGAAGATGAGTGAGAATCTCAAAAAGAAAAAATAAATAAAAATAAAAATAGGCTGGGCACGGTGGCTCATGCCTGTAATCCCAGCACTTTGCAAGGCCGAAGTGGGCAGATCACAAGGTCAGGAGTTCGAGACCAGCCAGGTCAATATGGTGAAACACCATCTCTACTAAAAATACAAAAAAAAATTAGCCAGGCATGGTGGCAGTTGCCTGTAATTCCAGCTACTCGGGAAGTTGAGGCAGGAGAATTGCTTGAACCTGGGAGGCAGAGGTTGCAGTGAGCCGAAATCACGCCACTACACTCCAGCCTGGGCAAGAGTGAGACTCCATCTCAATAAATAAATAAATAAATAAATAAATAAATAAATAAATAAATAAGAAGAGAAAGAAATATCCTAAAGTTATAATATTTGATTATTAGGTGGCCCTTGGGTGACTGTTTTTCCTTCATTTCCAGGCTTTCTGTTGCGGGGGCAAAAGGGAAAGGCTACCCCATTTAGTGTGGGTCTCTTAGGTAACAACTGTAGGCACTTCACAGGAATGATCTCCCTCAATCCCCTCTGCCATGCCAGGCACACTTTTCTCCTCTTCAACGTTAAGACTGGGAAACATGAAGCCCCGCATGGTGGCTCACGCCTGTAATCCCAACACTTTGGGAGGCCGAGGTGGGTGGGTTGCCTAAGCTCAGGAGTTCAAGACCAGCCTGGGCAACCTGGCAAAATCCTGTCTCTACCAAAAATACAAAAAATTACCTGGGCGTGCTGGTGCACACCTGTGGTCTCAGCTACTCAGGAGGCTGGGGTGGGAGGATGGCTTGAGCCCGGGAGGCAGAGGTTGCAGTGAGCCGAGATCACACCACTACATTCCAACCTGGGTAACAGAGGGGGAACCCGCCTCAAATAAAAAAACAGATCAGAAATGTGCTCTGAAAGGACAGGTGCTTTGCTTGAAGCTGCAGAGATCCTCTTTCTTACTCTATGATCTACCTCTAACGCAATGGTTCTTGACCTAATTTTCCTGCGCCCCAAGACACCTGACAGCTATGACACACCCACTCCCATCAGTTCAGTGTCTGGCTATGACAGCGATCCTTACCAGGGCTGAGGGCCTCTCCTGGAGTTGGGGAAAAGCCCTATGGGAACGCACATTGGCTGGGCAGAGGGGTTTATCCTAGCTTTGAGAATCACACATCTCGTTTAGTTATAATGGGGCTGTACAGTTTTAATTGTTTAATTTTTAAATGTTTTAGTTATTGAAAAATATTTCCTGATTCTAAAGGTAATTCTTGATAATTAGAGAAAATAAGTCATCTGCACACCCAGGACAGTATGATCACAATCAAAATTTTGGCATATTGCCTTCTACTATGAAATTATCTAGCTATACAAAAATAAACTGGTATAAGCAATTTGGCATCTTTTTTATTATCTTCATTTTTTTAAAGGCATGATCTCATTCTGTCGCCCAGGCTGGAGTGCAGTGGCACGATCTCAGCTGACTGCAACTTCTACCTCCCAGGCTCAAGCGATCTTCCTGCCTCAGCAATCCACCCACCTTGGCCGCCCAAAGTGCTGGGATTGGAGAATAGAGCTGAGAGCCAGACTTTGGGTTTTTCTCTTAACAACACAGATCCAGAGCATTTCTGGGGTCACCAAAAACTCTTTAGAAACCTCCCCATTTCAGTCTTTTCTCAAACTTCCTAAGCATGTCAGCTTTATATTAGTTTTTCATAAATTTCATTTAGTTTCCTCTAATCAAACTTCCAAATGATGATTTTCAGTTTAATTAATTAATCAGGAGATTTAAAAGGTTTTCTCGACCACTGTCACCAAACTTGGCTACTATTTAAAGCCCCACAGGCACTCTGCTGCATGGAAAATCCAGGCTCCTCTCAGACCTGCCCCGGTAAAACAGAAAGAGGCATCCATTCCAGGCCACCCGACAGGCTCCAGACAGCCACACACACACAAGTACGTCCACTCAACAGCAATGTATTCTCACCCTCCTCCTCACAGTAACACTAAATTCACTCTTGATACACT